ATCCTAGCTATAAAATTCTTTATATTTATAACATATAGATGATAATTTTATGTATCATGAAGAAAGTGAAAGCTAAATGGTGCTTCCAGTGAATTCTATACTTGTAGACGATCATAACAAAAATTGTGAGAAACAGCACTCGAATCTCCTACCGACTTCGTTCGAGCTATTGTATGTGGTCCATTGCTGTGTAAAACTAATTTAATGATTAATTTACTTTGTGCAGAAATATGGATTACGTTTCAGAAATGTATGTTATGTGTATATATATATATTATATATATATATTATATATATATATATATATATATATAATATATATATTATTATATATATATATATATATATAGTCAAATTCCAAAACAATTAAGAGATAATGCTAATTTCATTGTATTATTATAAACAAGATAAAAGAAATTTATCTCATGTGTACGATGATCATGTAAATTACAGATATGAAGTTTATTGACTTTAGGCAGATTTGTAAAGATTGTTGGGATTCTAGAATCATAATTCATTGTTATCGATAAAGATAGTCCTATCGATAATGGACGATATCGAGTGGGATTTGATATGTATTTTAACTCCGATAATGAGTGAATTTCACCATTCTAACACGATGTATGCAGTTGAGAACATTACACTCGCGGGTAAACGAAAGACCCACCGCGAATATGACGTTGCCACTAAGGTTATGTCGATAACCTAATTTTCATCTACTACACGAGAATTGGAGCGAGATGATGATGAAATATTCTTATTGGTGGAAAACGTATTCGCAATGTGCAAGATCCAATAGATGATCAAAGATGTTTGCACGAAAAAAATTGCTAATATCTCTGCTTAAAGATCATTTGAATTGGAAAGATGTTCTCGAGAAAATCAATAATTCGTGGATAAAATACGCTGTCTTCTCCACCCGGTGGAACAACAGTGCAAATGCAAGGACGACGACTGGCTAATATCGCTTAACAATGGAAGACTGATGTAGCATCAAAGTCATATGTCGATTTCAAGGTTGAATTTGATGAATTTGTGTGTATATAAACGAAAGCGGGAAATATCATTACATGTAGAGTTAAAGAAGAATGTGAAATTGATGTAAAATCTTCCACTGATGCACTCAATGTTGAAAACTGTAGAGTTAAATGTTAGTGGTAAGATAGTGAAAAAGATTTTGGTTCAAAAAATTAGTAGAGAGTATGGTGCAGTTACTAAAAAATATGTTGATCAACGTAAAAATTAGATTCTGAAAACGGTGTGTTAGATGTCAATAATAGACGTACAATAATGTAAAGAACCAACTTTAAATTCAGATGTTGCAACAAAAACATATGTTGTTCACAGTAAGTAAGGTTTTTATATCTGAGAATGATGTTGACTTAAACATAAAGAATAAAAAATGTGAAGTTTCTCTGATGATAATATTGTATAAATAAGAAATATGTAGATAATGTATTTAGTAACTTTCCATATATCGATTATGAATAGTTAACTTTAACAAAAAGTATAACTAATGTATCTCAACCTCACACAGCCTCTAGATGTTTGTAAATGTAGAATATGTTAATGAAATACTGGATAATTCAATAACATTAAATAGATGATGTGATGAAATGCAAAAGAACATAGATTACAGGTTATCAAATGCGATAAATCCTTCTGATGCTGTAATAAACAAATGCTTGATGAGCTATCTACCAAGTTGAAACCATCTAATTTATTAGATCAGACATTTAAATGAAACGTTAACCATCCATGATGGTGTGTTGACATAAATAATCGCATAAGTAACTTGGAGCTAAAATTAATTCATTAGAGCTGTAATAAAGCTTTGCGCTAGACTAGAGTTTATGATTTCGTTAGAGAAAATGAAAATGAAATTACAAAATTAAATATTGGTGTTCTGGATTTGAATGAGCTTGAGAATATGCATGGAACAAAATTATTAGAATTACGTGATTATGTTAATAGTGTAATGCTATTGATGATAAAGAATTAGCGATCTTTTAACTAAAGTAGATTCATTGTGTAAAGCAAAACTCATGAAAAAGCTATTAAAAAATTGAAGGAGAAAATCTTCTATTAGAGAAATAAATGATTATCAGTTTGTTAGCGTGATGAGTACTCTTCTGCAATTGAAAATTAAGAAATAATATTATACAAAATTCTGCTTTAAGTCAGCAAAATGAAGAAACATTAAGATATTAAAAGATGATATGATGAAGTTGTCAATCTCTCTTCACAAAATAAATGAGTGTGTAAGCATAGTGAATATTCTTCTACAATCGCTGAAATAAAAGTAATGTTTAGCAATCTCCCATCACAATTAAACGAATATGTGAAGCTTGATGAATATTTCTTCTACAATCACGAAATTATATATAAATTAAACAATCTTCCTTCACAATTAAAGAATACGTAAGCTTGGTGAATATTCTACCACAATCGCAGAAGATTAAGGATAATATAGAGCAAACTTCTTCATTAACTTCACTGTTCGCGATGAAATGCATGCTATTAAGCAGCAAATAACTACATTAATCAATCGAGATAAACCTTTTTTGTAGAATGCGCACATGAGGAGAATGTACTGTGAGTTGACCACTTTTTATGTAGGATTTTTTATGATTGAATTTGTGTGGTATACAAACGAAAGCGGAATATCATTACATGTAGAGTTACAGCCTATTCGAAGCTGTATGTAGTTCACTGTTTTGTTTAATACTAAATTCTTCTAAGTATGAAGATTGCTGAAGATTGCACAGAAAGTGATTTCTGCTGAGTGTTAGCAAAATAACCGAGTATGTGAAATATCCTATATTGGCGAGCCCTCCTATTCTTAGTCCAGCCGCAGCGGCGCACAGCGAAGCATCCATACCACATCGCAGCGTGGCTCTTTTTGTAATATGCACATCATCCGAATTCAAGGCTTTCGCACATTTATCTAGAGAACTAGCTAAAAAGCTTAAAGAATCAATAAGTCTATACTCTAAATAATCATTTCTTTTTTTGAAAAGTGTATTTTTTGTTAATAGATTTATATCTTTCCATATTTTCTGGAATTAGTTTAATTTCACCCGGTCTAGCACCCATTCTGGAGTATCCCTCCACATAATTCTCTAATATAAATGACTATCATATCCCTGTAAATTTGAAACTATTACTGGAATATACGTGGTACTTCTTAATGCCTAAATTACAATACTGGTGTTGCAGCACCACGATAGTACCCGCTGAAATGGCATGATCTCTGACATTTCTCGCTATGATTCTTAAATCTTAATTACATAAATAACACTCCTTGCATTTTCAAACCCTTCTTCTTCACTTAGAGGGAATACATTTCTTTATTGTATTTGAATGGTAAATAATTATTTTTTTTATAGAGTTTTCAATCGAATTGCTTATTTAAAGCGATATCTTCATCGAACGCAAGATAATAAGCATCTCCACCATATAACAAAAAGATCATCTAAAGACTCATCGTATGCACATTTTTAAAAATAATGCAATACTATATGGCTTATGGCAATGTACTTTTACTGTTGATGAAGAAGAAGAAGAAGTGGATGATGATGAATCAGATGAAACGTTCGTTAAAATACATTCAGTATCACAATATATCACAAAAGGATGTTTAATTTGTTGTTCGAATTTAGAAAATTGTAATGTTGTCTCTTTAGGGAAAGCATAGCTACATGGTTTGAACATGATACAATCACGTTCATTATTTTCCAATCGCTCGATTGTATGAAAATAACTTAGACATCTATGGCATACATGAATACGTCCTTTATGTTTTGATAAACTGCCAGAAATTAATTTAGAAAGATTTGTTATTGCAGCGAAATGAAATGAAGATTTCCTCTTAATACTTAGCATGAGAAGATTAACATGACGTGGTTCATTAATTTTCGAAATATATAATGGTACATATATAGGTTTTTCATCATCATCCTTATTCCCCCCGCTGTATTTACCCATTGTCCTTTTGCATACTGAGCGCTATAGACATTTACAGAAATATTATTTAATTTTTCAAATCGAGGAATATCTGATAGCGTTATAGGTAAGCATAACCCTTCCATTTTCAAA